TCATAGCCGTAGGTAGAAGTGGGAAATAGGGCTATTTTAACTATAATAACTATTAAATAATAATTATAACTTGAATCCCTCTTCTAATGAATTGTCGCAATAATGTACGCAGCAGGAAATTGAAATAATTTAAAATGCTAAATTTTGGCGGTCATAGAATTTCAAAGTGACAGTGACAGAAATTCGAAATAATTAAAAAAAGCGGGCGGGACGACTATGGTGTTTCGTCACATTGTCAGGTGGACAAACCAAATGAAACAAAATATTGAAAACCCCAACAGCTGTCAGTTTTGTGTCCGGACTCTTGTCTAAGGTATATACAGGGACTCTAGATGGTATTAGTTTGATAAGAGTTGGGACACAGAAATGACACTGGTTAGGGTTTTTGAATGTTTAGATTTATTAAGTTACACACCTTGCATTGTGACAAGAGCACCATAGTCGTCCCGCGCTTTTTCATTCAAAATTGTTTGAATTTGACAATTAATTTTATAAACGTCAGAATTGAAATAAAATTTCATAATTATTATACATTCCGAGATAAAAGCAGCTATGGAAATCACTTGCTGTGTAATGAATTGTGCCAATTCTGAAACAAATGGATATCAATTATTCAATTTTCCAAATCAAATATCAAGCATTCACTTATGGAAGGAAGATATGAAACGGCCAGGGTGGAAAATCAATTTGAAGACGTGCGAAATTTGTGAGGTACTCATTGAAATTCACTTCTCATAACAGCATCTGATTAGAATGAATCTATATTTTAGGCCCATTTCCAAACAGAAGATTCTAAAATCTGATGTTTCATCGATTACCAAAGCAGGCGATTTCAAGAACAAAATTTCATTATTATCATCAAACAAAATACCTACAAAATAATCATGGAAAAGGGGACAATGATCGCAAAATTACATAATGAAATTGAAAATTTGAAAACGAAACTAAGAGAAGCAGGTAAACTACAACGTGATATATTATTGAATGGCGTTTTTGTCGCCTACCGAATTCAAAATTCGACAGTGAAAAGTGATTAAATATTTATGTTTCAAGGGAATTATTATAAGGGCCTTAATTACGCTGAAGAGGTTATCGTTTTGGAGATATTTTCTATATCGATCCATGTTACTTAGCTCCTAGGGCGCTAAGTGAAGTTGCTGAGAACTTCACAAAACCAAGTTTTTGGTAGGTCTTGTCACAATAAATTACTCTTTTCCTATGAAATCTTTATCGAAGAATGATTTTTTCTCTGTATTTCAACACCCTGTATCTCCTAAATAAAGCATTTCCAGACAAAAGCTTATATAGACTTTATTTCTTAAAATTGTCTCAGGAAAACTTCACTTGAACGTACTCAAGTTACTTCCTGTATAGTGAGAATACCTACCTTTAATTCAATATTAATAACTTCATGTTTTATACTTATCACTGGAGTACAGTTTCACATACAATAAGGAATTATTGCTATAATTATCCTTATGTATATATTCTCTGATATCAAAATGTTGTTACATGCATTCTTTTCATTTATATAATAGATGCTCTATGAATTGAAGTGGGTGTTTGTACCCTATATCCATTGTCCATCTACGGCTATGATTGATTTGACAGAAAATATAACCTCTATAATCGTATCTGACAATCAGGCGCTACTAGGGAAATTGAAAAGACAAAGAGCAGAATATATGTCTTATTCTTTTATTCACTTAAACCATTGTATTATAGAAAATAGAAAAAGGCAAAAGTTCAGCTGTGTCCGAACCATATACGTATTAATAAACAATACGGATCATAAAGGGTGCCAGGATGAAGCCAAAAATATGAAACAAATGAATATCCATAAGGATTTGGTGGCATGATACGCATGCGCTATTATAGTAGTCATCGAAGACATGCGTTTCGGGGAACAATGACGTTTACTAGCCTTTCAATCAAAGCAGTACTGTGTCTGATCGTATCTCACTTTTCCTTATGGATAGTCATTTGTCTTCAAAAATCGGCTTCATGTTTCGCTATGGAAACAGATAGAGATTATCCGTATTGATTATTAATACGTATATGGTCCGAACTCTTATCAAACTAATACAATCCAGTGACTCTAATGGCCACTAGTCAGTGGCCAGTCAAGCACATAGAGCTTGTTCCGATATTCTCGAACAGTACTGCCCAGTATATTTTATCGTTCCGATTTTACTGAAATTTAATGACACATTTGCGAGGGTCATTGCAAGGAACCCTGTTTAGAGGCTAAAAGTAACCTGTTACCAGTGATAGAATACCACTGGTGCAGAAATGGTGATGTAGGGGCAAATGCAATGACGGCTAATTATCTAGACTGTCTGACGGGTTATACATGACTGTCCAATCACTCAGTACAGTGTATACTCCACCAGAGGGGTTTACTTGCCGTCCTTTGCGGAGAAGTCATTTGTTTCCTGTTATTTTGAGCTTTCATTCGGTTGTTTTCCAATAACATAGGTTTTAATGAATTCTTATTATCAAGTGTCAAAACTGTGTCACTATCAGCTCCCTGTGTTCTGTTAAATATTGATTTTAAATTCCTTTACTTTTTCGAATTTTCATTCAATCAAGTATTCTTCTTTGTGTTTAGTGCTGGTAGTTTATTTATTCAGGTTTGCTAGTTGCGTCTTCATCATGTATTCACAGCCTTCTGGCGTATGAATATTCGTAATCGTAATCTCATGCCCAGTGATAAACTCCACAGCAAGAATGGTCGAATTCCATTTTGAAAGGCATCGGTAAGAATATGATTTCACATGTACAATGTGTCCAGTTTTCGATGCTTTTGCGTGATATCTCAGTTATCTTTCGAGATAGAACCTTGCGGTTTTCGCGGTCCTGTACCACTTTTCTGTGAAACTCAAGATGGCCTTATCAGATTTTGCATAACCGTTTGCGTTTATGAGATACAGTGCGATTTTGAAAATTTATACTTTTTGGACCCCCTCTATATCTACGAAGTTTCTCAGCGGAACTGTCAAATTGGAATCTTATCCCATACAGAATTTCGCGCAGAATTCAGTGGCGCACTCGATTTTTTTTTCTGGGTATGGTTTCGGAGATACGACTCAAACTTATGATTTTTCAAATGGAACACCCTGTATTTTATAAGCTCATTAAATTCCTTATTTTTTTCCCATCAAAATGAAATATGATGAAATCACTAAAACATTGAATTTTAATAGTGAGCTATGGATTTTTGTATTTAAAAAAGTTCCAATTGAAGGAATATTTCATTTGATTCTTCCATGAGAAGGACAAAAACAATCCCAACACTAGTTAATTAAGATAACACAAAAATTAGGTACCTGATAGCAACAAATGAATGGTAATAAAAAGTTCATATTCTAGATTAAGCACCTGATTTAATATTCACTAAGACAATAGAATTTCGAAATTAATCAGTAACTTATTCATTGAATTGTTCAAATTGATGTCCACTTTCCCTCACACGCTTTCTCAATACGTCTTAATGCATTCAAAATCATCAAAGGATGTCTTTGTAATTCCTGGAAAACTGCCTCTGTTGTTGCACGAAGTTCTTCAAGATATTTGTGACTCTTACTGTATCAAGACATATTGAGAAACTGTCAATTGTGTGTTATGGGAAATGGACATCAATTTGAACAATTCAGTGAATAAGTTATATTGAATTATTCCGAAATTCAATTGTATTTGTGAATATTTAATCTGGTGCTTATTCTACATTATGAACTTTTTATTACTATTTATTTGTTGCTATCAGGTACATAGGTTTTGTGTTTTCTCAGTTAATTAGTGTTGGTATTGTTTTCGTTCTCTCTATGGAAAAATCAAAATGAATATTCCTTCAATTGGAACTTTTTTATAAGAAAATCCATAGCACACTATTGAAATTCAATGTTTCAGTGATTTCAGAGCATTTTTGAAAATTTCATATGCATACATTAAAAATCATTTTGAAGAGAAAAAAATGAGGAATTTTATGAGCTTATAAATTACAGGGTGTTCCATTTAAAAAATCATAAGTTTGAGTCGTATCTCCAAAACCATACCCCGAAAAAAAATTTTGAGTGCGCCATTGGATTCTGCGTAAACTTTCATATGGGATGAGATTCAAATTTGACATTTTTGCTGAGAAACTTCGTAGATATAGAGGGGGTCCAAAAAGTATAAATTTTCAAAATCGCCCTGTATCTCATAAACGAAAACAGTTATGCAAAATCTGATCAGTCCATATTGAGTTTCACAAAAAAGTGGCACACGACCGCGAAACCCGCAAGGTTCTATCTCGAAAAATAACTGAGATATCACACAAAAGCATCGAAAACTGGACACACTGTACACTTTTCTGATGATTTTCCTAATCCAGTTATTCCCTCCTCCACACATAATTGTGTTTTGGTAGAAAAATAAGATATTTTAAATGTCAATATCTGTGATTATTTGTTGATGTTGTTATATAATAAATCATACTTCAAATTATTATTCTTTATAAGAATTTCATTATCATTATATTTCATATTCAGTATATTGTTTAGGTGCATGGTTCATTAAATACAAATATTGAAGTTCATTTATCAACTTCGAGTGCTGATTTTGAAACATAAATGGACGGCTTTTGAGTTGGTTCCAAAAAACATTATAACGTCCGATGATCATAACACTAGACATATCCATATTCGGGCGGTTGGTCATTCAGTCATTTCCTTTCAACTGGCAACACTGTATGTGTTGACATATTGACGTCACTATCAACCCAGCGTGAAAGCCCTTATGATCAAAAATGTCGCTAAATTCCCAAAAATTTCGCCTGCACTCCGCTCGCTATGGCGATTTCTAGCGGTTTTTTCCTAACTTCTTGCGACATTTACTGTTCGGCAGTTGGCAACACTGTGTGAGGTGTGCATCAGTATATGACAATTGACAAGTCAATGAAGTCATTGACAATGCCAACTTGATTGCTAAATTGAGTCTAAATTCATCAACAAACATGAACCATGGAGAAAGAAGAAACGGACAAACCAACTCACAATAAGATTAAAATGAACCTGGAAGATATCATCAAAGAATGGGAAACAGTTATGCATGATGAGATTGCTGAGTATGCTGAGCATAGAGTAGCATCAGATGAAGAATTATTTGCTACAGCATACCATAAAATGGTACATTCACCTGCTTTAGAAACAATGCTCCAGTTAGAGCATATGTATTCTAGAACAGTAGGACAAAAAACTGATGAGAAGAAAAGACTTGTCCAAGAACTATCTGAACGTCAGAGTCATGAGATGAATGATGCAGTAGATAGATTAGATAAAGATATGACAGAATCAAAAATTAATGAGCTAGTTGCAGAGCACTATGAAGCTCATTCTTTTCTTCAAGGAAAACTTACTAGTGAACTTGATACTATCAAAGAAGCTCAGAGAAGAGAGTACCGAGAATGGTTGATGCAAATGCTTGAGCAAAACCAAACCAATAGTTCAATACCTACTCCCAATTCACCTTTGACACCACATGAAATAATTATTCCCAATCAAGTATTTGATAGAGGGTTATCAGATACACCTATTCTAGAAGAAAGCTTCACTATCCATCTTGGATCACAGTTGAAGCAAATGCATAATATAAGAATTTTGTCTGCCAATGTGATGGATCTCTGTGAAGTAAAAGACAATAAGCTATTTTCAGAACCTACTCCACAGTTACTGCAAACAGCTCTAGCCCTATATTCAAATGACTTGTCTGGTTTGGTTTTACTAGCTGATAATAAAATAGGTTCCAGAATGATAGAGGACTTCCAAGATATTTGTCAGAAATCAACAGAATTTCACTTTCCACATATAGAAGATCAGTTGACAAAAATTTCAGATATAGCACAGAAATTCCTGAAAAAAGAACAGAAAAATTTGAATAGGTCACATAGTGAACTTTTACAGCCTGGGGATTTTTATATCACAAGGCACTCTAATCTTTCACAAGTACATGTTATTTTCCACATGGTTTCAGATGATAGTTTGAGAGGTTGTGATATAAACAGCAGACATCCTGTAGTTTTAGGGCTGAGGAATATCCTGAAAACTGCATGTTCCAATGATATTACATCACTGACCATTCCCTTGTTATTGCAATATGAGATGACAGAGGAAATGACTATTTCATGGTGTGAAAAGAGAGCAGAGCTTGTTTTCAAATGTGTCAAAGGCTTTATGATTGAAATGGCTTCCTGGGGAGGTTCAGATTTGAAGAATTTGCAATTCATGTTACCCCAAGGAATTTCAAATCAGGTGTTCCATTCATTGACAGAGATGTTACCTAGAATTTTTAAAGTTTCAAATCCAAAAGTGTTGAAATAATCAGTGTTTTGTAGTGCATTCACTTAAAATATATATATATGCACCATTAATTACATTTTATTTTTTATGAGAATATTTCATATCATATTCTATGTGTTCTTGAAAGCAGTCTTGTTCTGAATTTGATCTTCTGCCTAATATTCTAGAAGATTCATTTGGAGAAAACTGGAAATTCTATGAATTGATCAAGAAAATATAAAAATCGGAATTTTATATTAATCAGTATGCATGGAAAGTATAATGGTACATTACTTGAGAGTCACTGAAATACGAGAAAGGAATGCTAAAATCATCAACTGGGAGAAATAATACATAATGCAATCATTTCAAAATCAACTCACCTCACAAACATTTCATCAGACAAGCTCCAAAGCTCAACAGAAATACTAGACACATACAGTACAGTGGAGTAAAGACGAGCCTTCCTTATATTTCGACAATTTCGACACTCCAACACTCTGAACACTTCTTTATTTCTTTATCAGAAGAATCTACTTCAGTAACAGTAAGATAAAAGTAATATATTCGAATTTCAAAAACTTCAAATCGCACACAAAATAACGTTCGTGCATTTGACAATTGACATCTCTCACTCTAAAGTGTTTGTGAAACAGTTATATAGTTCCATCCTTATTCAATTCTGGGGATAAACACTAGATTTTTGTCATTCGTTGTTTTTTAGGTTATATTGAGGTCACTGGCGTATCATACGTAATTTCCATATGGAATTCCTGATTCAACTATACCAAATATAGATGAACAATCCTCTAGTATTAGAGTTTACTACTCCAGCATAATGTTTACGAGGTAGGGAACATATGAATTGTACTGGAAGCTCAATATATTTCACCAAAAGAGACTGTTCTTAGACTGTATACAAGGGTTGACTGAATTGACTGAATGAATTCTGATTTCAAACTGCACAGTAGTTTATCTATGAGCTGAATGAGCTGAGCCTTATGATTGAGAAATGGTCAAAACGATGTGAGAATCTGAACTACTGTACTCATGTAATGTGTGCTAAATATATTTTCGGAAATCCAACTCGAAGAAGAATTTATGGAGTGACTAATATCAGACGAAAAGAAGGCTGATAAAAAGTAATACGTACAATGTGCAGGGAAATAAAGAATAGAATATCCTTCACCCCCATGTTATATATATGATTCTTCCATCTCCCTTAAATAAAAATTCATTTTCAAATAATTCATCGATGAAAGTAACAAACAAGTAGGTATACGCAGTATAACTTATAGGCACGTTATTTTCACTCTTGCATCCTACATATTTTCTATTTGTGATAGAGTAATAATTATATGAACTAATGTCTTTCGCCATATTGGATACGTCATCTTGGATTTTCCAATTTTGACGAAACAATCATTATCTCCTACCCCGAAAACCCCCAGATATCAATTTTGAATAGAATCAGATCTTCATTACAAAACTTGTTTGCCATATGATCTTCCTCAACAAGTAAATACCCTGTACATACCTATTATTAAAATTTTGAATGATTTTCTGTAGCGCCCATGAATGTGAAGTGACAGCAATGTCAGGGATGCCAGTAGACAAAACTAAAGTCTCTAGATCATTAAAAAAGAATGCAGCTATGATCTGTCCGTACCCTGTTAAGATGACTTTAACGTCAAATTCCATCAAGGGACCCTAGTATCTGACTATCTGAAGGGGCGTACTCAATTTTTTTTAAATTTCTTGTTCAATTTGCGAGATGAAATATCTGGTTAATTTGAAGACCTAATATTTAGGCACTTCTAGTAATAACAAGGAAAGGGAATTTGAAAAAAAAACGCCACGGAGTAGCAACCAAACTGAGTGAGAGATCATAATATGTCCTTCCCTCTTCCACAAGGAACCGAGGGGGATATTCTTCAAAATCTGGTATAACTACTAATAATCTAGTCATTGTCGATCTAAATGAAAACCTAGTAGGCGAGTTAGTGCAGGACTAAGTGCGAGGAGGTATTGCTCCTGCCTACTAACTACCTAACTAGGTAGTCATCTAGAACGACAATGATCTAGCACTTGATACTCGATTCTAGTACGAAAATGAGTTCAATTCTAGTACGATAAATTTTAACCCAGGAACATTTCTGTCCACTGTGAAGTCTGAAGTGTGAAGTGACTGAAAAAGTGAAAACTGAAGTGAATGAAGTGCGAACTTTGATTTCGTAATCCACATTAGTCTGTCTTTTCTTGGGTTTTTCAATGAAATGATAATTTATAATGATAAGTAAATATCCTAAACCGCAAATAAGAAAGTGGATCAAACGAGGGGCTCTAACACTTTTTGTATTCGAGGCAGCTTGTTTTGCTGGGAGTTATTTTATTTGGAATAAAATAAATACCGAGAGAGGTAATATATTTTTTATTCCCGCTGTTCATTGTTCACATTGGTATCATTAATATTTTTACAGATTTCAGAAAATATCTCAAAGAAAACTACCCAACTGTTTTGGAAGTGTACTACAGAACCGGCGAAACTTTTGGTAAACAATACAAATTGCGAGAAATTGACCAAACTTACTGGGATAAACAAAATTAATGGCCAGTACAGTTGTGAGGTCCCTGTTTTGGTTTTGTACTTTTTCTGGACTTGGCTTTGTTCTTCTGTCCATAGCTACTCCATCAGAATCTAAAATAATCAACTTGAAAGAGGTTTGTTTATTGATTGGTCACATGAGCATGCATTTTAGTGCTTATATATTTGTGTCAAAAATTTCTGTCACTTTCAGCTATCATTATTATCATTAAGTTCATTCTGTTTTATTTTATAGAAATTTGGCCAAGTGGAGAATAAACAAAAGCAGGCTCAAATCAACATCCTACAAGCTGCAACAGAACATACTAAGCCCCCTTACAGTTTATCTGAGGATGGCATTGAAAAGGAACTGAAAAAAAACTGAAGCTCTTTTCAGTCAACTCTTATAATATATCAATTTTTGATTCTACACATCATATGAAACAAATTAAACTATGGAAACTATTAATGACAACAAATTGGATTCATTGACCAAACGTGAGAATGAAAGGCAACTCAATTTACAAAAAAAGAAAGATTTTAAAGACCATCTCCTACCAAATAGTGAAAAACTAGAATTTTTTGAAATATTATTTGGTGAAAAGCAATCCAACATAGAAGCTTTAATTCATAAATCTAGGAACTGTTCTGAAAATGAACTTGCTGATCATTTCAACTATATATCTAAGGAAATTTTAGCTTTGCAGAAGTATGTAGCAGCATCAAATATATTTCTCAGGAACTATGACCTACAAAGATGCCAGCGTATTCTACAGGATCTGACTCTGAAGCAAAAACAATTAGAAGAAGATTTACTTCCCAAGAAAAAGTTTTCTTTCAAGAACAAATATAAACAACATGGACAAGCAAGCATAAGTTCTTCATCAAAAGAAAAACAGGATGAAGTTGATTTTTCAACTAAAATCCCAGTTCAAAAAAATATTTGTGGGGTCTTCAACAAAGATAATGAGGATGTAACAATGACTAATAATGAAATATTCAAAAAAGACATCACTTTTGAAAATATGAAAAATTGTAAGATATTTTTGAAAGGAAGTCCTTCTACTTTACATCTAGACAATTTGATGAACTGTCAAATATTTTCTGGACCAGTTTCAACTTCAATATTTGCAGAAAATTGTGAGAATTGTACTTTAGTCATAGCCTGTCAACAACTGAGACTACACAATTCCAGAAAAGTCACCATTTACTTGCATGTCACTAGTAGAGCCATCATGGAAGATTGTAAAAACATTTTGGTAGCCCCATACAATTTGAAATATGATGGAATTGAAGATCATTTTCTCAGTGCCTCTCTTGACATTAATTTGAATAATTGGAGATGTATTGATGATTTCAACTGGTTAAGTGAAAAACATTCACCAAATTGGAAGGAAATTGAGGACAATGACATGGTACAAGAGTGGGCTAACTAATTGTAGTTGAGATAGTGGTAGACTCCTTAAAATTCATTATGAAGGAAACAAGCTCACCCTTACTGATAATAGTATAGTTTTTTTTATGGAAACTAATCAACTCATCTTGAAATTGTATATGAATAACCCAATATAATTTATGAATAAAATGTGCTATTTAATTTTCCCCTTTTAGAATCTTGGAGGAAGGTTTTCACATGAATTGATGACTTTTTTACTGACTCAGCGATAGGTACTTGATGGAAATCCATAGTGAACGTAAATAAACTTGTTTATCCTACAAAATTTCACCATTCACATTAATATATTCCAATTAGCCATTTATTTCCGCTGGTCGGCTGGTGAAAATGTTTAATGGATGTAATACATTTTTGTGGTTCATTATGTCCAGGTTTTATCTATCATGTGAAGTACTTACTGAGTACTGATTGTTTTTATTCCAATTGTCCTGACATGATAATTATATCGTCATGAAAAAAAAAATTAACTTCTTCACCTCAGACACCTTACTTGCCTCAGTACTAACCTATAATTTTGTCTTCATGTCTTTTGTGCTTTGATCTAGTAATGGACTTTGAGTTTATAACGATTATTCGAAATTTAGAACATCAGGTATGCTCACTAGAGGGCTCTCTCTCATCTTTTAGGAAATTTTTTTCATCTTCCATCAGTTTTTCTGGAAATGACATAAACTTCCTTTCTTGAAATGGAACACCCTGTATTTTATTCCATAATCGGTTAGGGATTATTATAACGAATTAAACAATACAGGGATTGATTGTGTTAATTCAAAGGATTACGAAGATATTCGCGTTCGAAGTTTTCATACGCTCAATGTGTGTGACAGCGCAATATCGAGAATTAACTTCTTTCTCTATCACACTCATTTGAGCTCATAGAAACTTCGAAGGCTAATATATTCGTAAGTCGTTTGAAATAACCCGCAAACCCGGTGTTGTTGAATTTGTTATAATAATCCCTAACTAGCTGCGATTATGGAATAAGATAAGTTAGGTATATATTGTATACAGGGTGTTTCATAATTGAATGCTGATCCTTAAGGGCGATAATCCTTGGATGATTTCAAAGAGAAAAGTTTATATCAACATAATGTCCTAAACCTCTTAGTTATTGAGCTACAGGGTGATGAAATTTCAAGAAAAAAATGAGTTATTCGTCATATTTTTTTATCACTCTTAGATATTGTTATGATATATTGTATTGTATACTCCTTTTCATAATTAAGGAGCATTTTTTTACGTGAGAGATATTTGAAAATTCTCACTAGTTGCGTCCGTACGGGGTTTGAACTGACAATTTTTGAAGAAGAAAATAGCACGCCACTGATTTTTCTGAGAACCAGATTTTTTCTCCAATTCTTGTTCATTTTGGAGCAAATTTGGTTCCCAGACTTACTTTCATACAACGTACCGTTTTCGCGTGAAAAAATAAAAACCAAAGAATTTTGATCCTTCAGTTCTTGGATATTGTTTTTGGTAATTCAGTAGACACCCACTATAAGTGGAAACACATTTTGTTTTGGGACGAAAATCAAACTTTCACTTTTACCAGTGATGTCCTCGTAGACCTGATATTGAATGTTTTGTTTAAAAAAACGCTGTACGCTTCTGATTTCAACACCCTGTACCTCAAAAACTAAGAGGTTCAGGACATATGTTGATATGAACTTCTCTTTTCAAAATCATCCAAGGATCATCGCCCTTTAGGATCAGCATTCAATTATGAAACACCCTGTATATATATACTTATCTTGTGTGTCTCACTTATAAAGGAAACACCCTTATTGTATCTCATGTATTCGTTGGGTGTGGATCCTAAAATTTGCTGGAGCGAGAGATATACCAAAAATGCACTCTATGACCAAGTGGGGCATCTCCAAAATGATATACACTGCTCACCAAGAGCCATGGAACCATCTCAATTTCCGGAATATATGGAGTTGAACTAGGTTCAAAGTCACTTCGGATTCGGAATCAGGACGCCCAATTCACTGACTATTCATATTTGTCAAATTTCAGTTCAGAAAATTTCATTTTTGTCTCTTTCTTCATGGAAACACCCCTTTATCTCACGTAATTATCTAATTATCGAGTTAGGATTGTTGAATTTTCAGGGGCAAGAAATATTCACAAGATACAGTCAATGACCAATTGAAATTATCATCAGTGATATACAAAGCTCGCTAGCAGTCATGGAACCACCTACACATGTCCGGAAAATCATATTAGCAGAGATAGGTTGGAAATCACTGCGGATTCGAGAACAGATAACAGAACGTCTAATTCACTGAGTACTCATATTCCTTCTGTCTGAAAAAATTTCAGTCTGAAATGATAATAAATTCTGTCTCACTTTTCATGGAAGCACCCCAGTGTCTTACGTGATTATTGATGTAGGAGTCTGAAATTTTTAGGAGCAAGAAAGACCAATGACCAAAGACCGATATTTCAGGAGGAAACATTCATTAAATCGTATATTTTACTCAATGCCCAGCAAACATGTATCGCGCGGGCCTTTAGACGCCCTCCAAAAACTGCCGACAGTCAACATCAGCGGGCCACAATCATGACCCAGCGAGCACAAACATCCCTGGGATGTTTTGAAAATGTTGGCATGAAGATGTTATTTTGAGACGTAATATGCACTGACCAAAGAGGTCTTTGAAGGATATTAAAGTATTGTTTTTGTTCTTCTGTGGCATTTCTTTGTTTGCCTACTGAGAGGTGTCCCTGGGATGTTTTTTTAAGGCGTAATATGCACTACCCAAAGAGGTCTTAGAAGGATATTGAAAGTATTGTTTTTGTTTTTTTGTGCCCTTTCTTTGTTTGCCCCACCACAACGTCTCATGCTTACGTCACAATACGATGAATTCTGATTTGTTTTCGATTTTGTTCTTCTTGTTCGCAATTGGCATTCGCGTTTGCAGCGTGTCACGCTTACATCACGCTGCTAACGAACAGAAAGGAATTTGGTGAAGTTTATTGTGTTAGAAGACTTATTTAGTTTGTAATAATGACCATCAGATGCAAGATGTGTTGTTCGGTGCCTCAGTGTAATCAATATATAAAAGTACGAATTCATCAATACACAGCTTCTCCGCAGTTGCAAAATTATGCATTGTGGAGAACATTCCAAAAATTGGGAAACCTATTTCCAATTATATGTCTGTGTGTAGTAAGCACTACTCATAGAAACCGATTAAGAAGGTAATTTCATATCAAGAAAATATTTTTATGCATTTTTTCATTCAAGGGAAATGGAATCCTAATGCAAAAGTTCATTTTGACAAAAGGCTTCAGAAAAGTACCTCGAAAATGGTTTTTTTACAGCGATTTAATGTGCGCAAGACGCGTTGAAAATGTTCTGTTGTGTCCATAAAAAGGCTTTAAAAAGAACTAGGGAGAAGGTGGTTTTGTGACATATCAAGGACATCTCGATATTTGCCGCCTGCGGCGGACATTGGCTGTTCTATAATAGTTCTATTCATGTGTGAACAGAACATCGCAGTGGAGGTTCAATGTCTCGAAATCTCGTACTTTTTACATCTCTGAGATGTTTTTGTGCTCGCTGGGATGGCTTACATTACAGATCATCCTAAATAAAACCAACATTTTGACTACATAAATTGTTTATTGAGATGACCCCAGAATTTGAAATCTACAGAATGGAGTTGTAGTACTGCATAAAAATTAAATAAATCGTTCCTAACTCATCTAAACATCATATCCTACAATGTGGCGTTTCCCTATGCATTCTCCAACATAGAACCAGCATAAGACTTCTACTCCAACGAGCGTATTCAGCCAAGCTTCTTTAACGGTTAGATTTTTCCAAGTCCCATTTTTAGCACCGCTGATTAATCTGCCAATACCAGCTCTGATTTGGGGAATGTCTGCGGGAGTTGGTGGAGAAAGTTCCACTTTGGCATACTTCCAGAAGGTGTTCAACTTGGGGCGACTTTCTTGAATCAGTCCTAAAGTAAACCACTAATATGGTAAGTACAATAATTCATTAAATGATATTGAATTATTACTTGAGACAGATGGGCTGTACCACTTTTACCTGGTATTTTATACCAAATAATATGAAGAATATCTGCTGAACGATTATTCAGCCAGCGATATATCTGGAGCCGTTTATGTTTTTGATTTACAGGGTTTCTATAATTGATGATAGCATTGTAGTGGCTGTTGAAATAGTAAGTAGGTAAGTGAGAAACGAATTTTGTACACAAGTATGCTCCTTCTTGCGCACGTGTGCGTAAAGCGAGCGATTGCAAGGTTTTCATAGGTATGTTGATAGATGACTTTGCTTAGGTACGATGTGACAATTTCAGTTAAGACTTTAGTTATCTTTTCGTCAATAAATCAAATTATCGACCGAAATCGAAAGTATCAGGCAAGTAATATTTTTCGAAAATGATTATTTGCTGTTGATATTTCACAATTTCAGTTTAAAAATATCAAGCGATGATGATGATATTATTTCTAAACCACTAGACAATCTGTAAAGAGCAAAAATAGCAACAGATGAGTTGGCTCGTGAAAATACGAAATCGCTTACAAAAAAAATCATGGAAACTCAAGAATAATATCATGTCATTTTCGGAAAATATTCTGTGACTTTGGAAAACTGCATAGTGAGTATGAATAACCATTATAAATGTTAATTTTATATGTTCATCAAATGTGTTTTTTGTTATCAGTACGATTGTTAAGATATGAAAAACGACTTCATTTCAGTTCAAATTGAGAGAAATGGCTCGTTATGCAATTTACCAATGAACGAATACAAGAATGGGCGAATGGACTATAATGAATTATTGGCATTCAATTACTCCACTGTGTCGTTGGGAACCTAAATTAATTGTTCTACTCACGTAACTAAAATGAAATTTAGCGTACGGATATGTACCACGCTAAATGATCGATTAATCACAGATTGACGATCTGTGATTTATTCAAAATATTGAACACGTTACCATGGCAACACGATTTCTTAAACACATTACCATGGCAACACAGTTCATTAAACACAGCTTCAGTAATTTGAGACATATCGGGCCTGTCAATTGTATTAACTGTCAACTGTTATTTTCAAATTTTGTATCAGAATTATTCAAACAATATTCGTTTGCATCAGAATTCTTCATTGAAAATATATGCGAAATGTAGACGAAAGTGGAATCGAAGAGAATGTTCTGGTACTTGCATATCTCCAAGAAGTGTAAAAATGAAGCATCCATCTTTGAGAACAATTTATTTATTCTGCGCGAAGCATGACAATAAACGTGAAACAAAGGTTAGTAAGCAATGGACTGGACACATCTACAACCAATCACTTATAAGTGTCTCGCTGGTTGCATGCAGTTGCATGTATTATGTTCTCCATTCCCATTCCTTTCGAATTATTTTGTAGGTTAGCAGGAATATAGAAGGTATATGTCAATGTAATTTTCGGAGTTCGTAGAAAAAGCATAGTATGTAACGCGTTTATAAACTCTTCTAGACACTCGCTCCGCTCTGCTCCGCTCGTGGTTAATAAACGAGTTACTAAAAGGACGTCTATAACACTCGTTAGATAATATACTATTTTGCAACACTTCTCCCACTTTTTATGTATATAATGAGTCTATGCTTTATTCGAAATTGTTGAATTTCAGAGCTCATTTCAAACGAACCTTTATGGCCGACATTTGGCGATACTTAGAATAAATGGCAACGTCAGTTTTTATGCTGTTTCGTTATAGGTCAGATAATCTTCCATTTCCACTCATGAAGCAAGGTCGTCAAGCCACCAAATATAATCAAGTTATCAAAACGATGTTAAGAGTCCTGTCGTTGAATAAAACATAATAGAAGGAACCCATGATGTTACAGTTCATTCTTGACTTTTTCGAACAACCAGCATTTCCAAATATTTTGTATTCCCCATACCAACATATTATGTGAATCTTGGAGACTTGGCAACATTGTGCTGAATGCTGAGAACTGACAAGACCACGCCCACAAGTCGTGCGCTGTGGTTGTCACGTTCACCGATTCAAATGTCCTCTTTTATTTATTATAAGCAATAAGCCACAAATCATAAGGGAACATTTTGAGAGAGACAATTGAATTTCTATTGCTAATTAGGAGTATAAACAATACTCAATTGAGAATTTATGAATTATCGAATATTTCTGAAATTCCCAATCGTATTTCAACACATGGCAACTGTGCTATGGTCTGCCCTAACTTACGAAATTGTGGCATCAGTTTTTACTGGCGGTAAATTTCTAGCCGTTTTAAAATTACCGTGGCATTATTGATGATTTTAGCACCTGAAAATCGATCAAAAAATTCTTAAAAATATGAAATTGAAAGGTATTTGAGTGATGATTCTATTTAAGAAATAAAAAAAAAAATAGTCCACTCGCCTATTGTAAGTTAACCTTTTCATGCACTACCTAAGCTCATAGTGACGGGAGACGTATTAGATATTTGTGTCTTAACACAATATCTGTGCTATCCTGAAGGAAGTATAGTGTAGTCGTAAATGAAGTATAGTACATTTCTCGAGTTAAGAAGCAATAACCCACTTTATGCGTAATATGCGTCTTACTACTCTTGTTATGTAATATATACTATTACAGACACTTACTACTGTAAGTGAAAAGTGGAAAATCATAATAATATTTCAACGACCACCTACGACGCTACGATCATTTATAGAAACCCTGGAGTGAAAAGGGAATGAGAATATACCGGGTGAGCCAATTGAAATTCCACACTTGTAGCCGAAACCGAAAACTTGATTTAACGTAAATAATTTTCAAGGTCTCATAGTCTCAATAAATAATTGTAGGTAACATCAAATCGTAGTGAACTATCTTTTCGACTTATTGCCACTTTCCACTCATGACCCTCACATACTTCATAACAGGAATCAGCAGATGGGGATAATATTTCATCTGCCACTACGACGTTGCATCCGGATGTTGAAATCATTTATAGAAATCCTGTACAAGTCACAAGTGGTGATGTGGTCACAATAGGTCGCGTGCACGAAGACCGACCCTGGAGGCAAAATATTGAAACACAACCTCATTCTTCTGTGAATTATTGAAACACAACCTCACTTTTTTATTTGGTTAGAGAGGAATCAGAAGGTTGAAATAGTTTTTCACAATATTTTGGCATACGAATCGTGTTTCTTGCGTTATTCATTAATTCAAGCATGTCTTCGCATTGTGCTGTTGTACAATGCACAAAAAATGCAGCAAGAGACTATAGGGAATGTGATTTTTCAGGTAAATAGTAATCTCACATAGCTATCATTATAAAATGTTGTCATTCCTTATTAAAATTCCTTCTGCCTTCTGCCACTTCTGCAATACAAGCTAATACTGCTAAGAGATTGAAAATGTCTACAACACACACGATCGTCAGCATGTCAGACCAGTCCTCCCGATTGATTGCATGAATCCAATCTTCTTGCATTATTCTAGAAATTTCAGGTATATTTCTATTAGCTCCTATTGCAGAAGGAATTCCGATGAGAAATCAGAGAAATAACCAAATTTCAAAAATGAAAACTAATATGTGAGTGACTATAGTAGGTACTTACTTTTAAATCATAATGTACCATCCGGATTGCTTCATCTTCTGCTGCAGTTTTTGTGCATTTTACAACAGCACAATGTGATGGCATGAGCGAATTGATGAATAACGGAAAAATACGATTCATATGGGCCAAAATAATTGTGGAAAACTATTTCGATCACTTGTAAACAAATAAGAAAAGTGACGTTGTGTTTCAATGTTTTGCCTCCAAGGTCGGTCATCTGACAGTTCGTGCACGCAACCCATAAACAGTGAAAGTGAAGTTAGCCTGTTATTTTTATACTCATCCCCTAAATTTTGTTTCAATATGCCAAAGGATCACAAGAAATGGGTGTTTCAAAATCGTGTTCAAAATTCAGTATCAATATTTCATGGGCTTATTTTTCAGGTCAAACAAGACTTTTTCAATTATTATTATTTTCATTTAACTTGCAATGTATTTATGTAAGTATGTTTGTTCGGGTGAAATCTTTGAACTCAATTTTGAAGTAGATATCTTCAACCGATTGAGCTGAAATTTTGTAAACACATTTATTTTGGATGACAATGCACGATAAGGTGTGTAACGTTATTCTAACTCCAATATGGCGGACCATCCAAGATGGCGGAATAGTAATTTTTAATGAACTTCTACAATATGGGTATCAAATGAAAGGGCTCGTTGCTCGAATAATAATGTGACGTCATTCTAAATCAAATATGGCGGACCATCCAAGATGGCGGAATAATCATTTTTAATGCACTTCTACAATATGGGTATCAAATGAAATGGCTCATTGAGAGCAACTCGAAAAATAATGTGACGTCATTTTAAATCCAATATGGCAGACCATCCAAGATGGTGGAATAACTATCATTTATGCACTTTTGCATTATGGGTATCAAATGAAAGGGTACACTGAGAATAACAATTTTGGTTTAAAAAAATCGATTTTCAAGTCTGCAACATCGATTGATTAACTTTGACTTGTGTAATTTGGCGAGATGGGCGGCATACTGAATAAATAATAAATCATATCAAATGAAAGGGTACACTGAGAATAATAATTTTGGTTTAAAAAAATCGATTTTCAAGTCTGCAACATCGATTGATTAACTTTGACTTGTGTAATTTGGCGAGATGGGCGGCATACTGAATAAATAATAAATTGAAAGTAAAAAAACTTTTTAAGATAAAGCTTCCATTGAAACTCTCCAGAAAAAATTTTTCGATCGAATTTCAACTTTCAACTTATAACCTCATTACACACATAGACTAGTACCATTGAGTATTTACATAATCAAGGATAGTACTAATTTGATTGTTAAATCTGTTTAAATTTTTTAAATTTCAATTCAATTAAATATTTATCATCGCGTCAAGTTTTTTATGATCATATAAATTGTGTACAATGAGGTTATAAGTTGATAGTTAGAATTTAAAAGGAACATTTTATTTTCTCCGTTCAAATAGAAGCTTTTTTCAAGTTTTTTTTTTCTCCTATGAACATGTGTTCACAAACGCTTCGTTACTGAACTAGAGAGCGTTAAAGTTTCAAGATTTTAAATTTTTTCTTCATTTAGCTTTCAGGTTTGAGTTATTTAGATCAAATTAGAAATATAGGTCACACTTTCGGGTTTCTATCATAGAGTATGCCAAGTGATTGTAAGAGTCTACAGGGAGATATTGTTTTGCTACATAAACCATTTTATTAAAAATTCCAATTGAAGCTAAAAGGAATACCTTTTTCGTTCAAGGTCATATGCCTTCAAATTGAAAGTCAGACTTTCACCAGGGTAAGATAAAAAAGTAGGTAGTCTACAACAATATACAGGGTGTACCTGAACACATAACAAATAGGTATTTCTCAGACCAAATTTATTTGATTTGAGAAATCTCACTCAAGTATGAAGTGCTCAGTCTGGCCGCTGAACGGCTCTGAGGTTTTAATTTTCAAATTGTGTTTGCTTTATATCTTTGAAACAGTTCACTCACATATTATTACATGATACGTTGATAGCATAGCTTCATTTGGCAAAAAACCCATATATCATAATCATGCATACCTGAAAACATTTTGATATGTTAGGATATTGATATTCCCTATCAAGATCTTAATTACCCTGGAATACATCTGATAGGTTTTTTGATATGGGCATAGAACTTGATTTTTTCAGTATATTAACATCTGGAACATCTACGCCAATGGAAATAATGGATTTGAGTATGTAAATCCGGTAATTTTGCACTTATCATGCGATGGGTTTTTTTTCGAAAATTTTTTTTGGTACTTACGTATTTTTGTCTGAAAAACACGAATTTGATAATGAAAATGTGAACAAACCATTATTTATTGAGATATTTCACTATAAAGTTACAAATTTCACCTTCTTTTCCGCCTGTCTTTGGGGCGCATTTAGAACAATTTGCCCTTCTTTTTCCATCATTGGACAATTTATATATATCACACAATGTTGGACACATATTTTTTATTATATGAGTTAACTAGAAATATGATTTTCTTGTGATTTATCCATGTTTAGTGAAAAGAAGGAAGAATATCATTTGAAATAATGGCGTGTGTGATGTCATTCCAAAGCAATCTATTGACATTTGACATCTCCTATTTGGATTACCCATCGATTAAATGGCGGTCATCTGGTATGCTTGCTCACTAAATAGGAAAAACTCACCATAAAAATCATATTTCCTGTTGAATTTTCTAGCTTAAAATGTGTCATTGAAGTACATCATGAGTATATGAAGTGTACAATGACAAAATAAAAAGAGCAAGTACCTGTAAATGCATTCAACACAGGGGGAAAATAAGGCAAAATTTCGAACTTTTTCTTGAAATATCTCGATAAATAGTGGTTTGTTCACATTTTCAATATCATATTCGCGTTTTTCAGACAAAAATACGTAAGTACCAAAAAAAATTTTCGAAAAAAAACCCATCGCATGATAAGTGCAAAATTACCGTAAATCCTCCTGTAAATCCATGTGAATCATTTACTATGAATAAGACACTTTTGAAAAATTTGATTCCTCCCATGAATTCTACTAAATGTTAATCAGAGTGATTTAGAGCAATAGTAAATGTCAATATAGGATTAACAGATATTTCATGGTATTTTTTCAGAATGTCACCTATCCCATGCAAAAATCTGAATATAATATAAATGGAATAAAGGCAGAAAATTCGAATACAATTGGAATAATATCAAATTATAAATAAGCAATGAAATGAAGAATTTAATTGAATATTGTCTGTGTGGAGTACATTGATTCTGGTAGCTGGTAGCATTGTTCTTGTAAGCTATAAGAATTCATTGAGAAATTCAACAAGAAGTGTTCATATGTCAAAACAGGGGTAGGAAGTGCAGGATTCTCAGAGGAGGCCACAGCCCCTCTGTGGGCGCCCATGTTAACAACTGAAAAAAATCTCCCTTTAGGTTTCCACAATTATTACTGGGCATACTGTATGATGAAAACCCTAATAGGTAACCTATGTTTCAAATATCTGGATATCTCGAATACTGAAAGAGCAATAAAGAAAAAAAGAAAAAAATCTTAACCCTCTGTACATCGGCAAGGAAATGTTTGCAGACACATGTTTTTATAGGAGAAAAATTCTTATTTTGACCTGAAGAACAAGCCCTTGGAATTGTGATACTGATTATTGAAAAAACACTCTATATAATTTCACAAACCTTGTTGAATATTGATTTTACAATTCCACATGACTCAATCAATGAATCAGTAGATGTTCATCTCAATGGGAATGATTCTGAATATCATAACAGGAAATGTGCCTTCCCATAGTTTCAATGAGCATCAAGAATTCTAGTATTGGCACAATATTCTACATTAGAATTTCTTCCAAAGCATACCTAGATAGGTAGGTAAGTAGCAACTCCAGCAAAAAATGTAGGCCTAGCCTAGCGCTTCCGGTCTGTGCACGAGACAGACATTCCTTGCCAGAGAAGCTTCAAGTGACTTTGCATAGATTATATATACTGAGTTATATACCTACATCACATACATATAATACAAATCTTGGAGAAAGAAAAAAGCAATATTCCATGAGAATATTTTGATTGAAAGAGAATTGAAATTAGAAATCGAATTACATAAGAGCATATTTTTACAGATTCATGATATTTTTGAAATCGAATGAGCATCGAAATTACCTAATACCTGATTACATAATAATGCCTAAAATTATTACTATATACATTTCTACTCACGTCCTGCTAAAACTGGAACTTGGGCAATTAGTTTAGACATTTTAGCAATTCGGATTACTATCAAAGTTTCTTGAATTTGATAAAATAATCACCTTTCAAAATTAGCAAAATCCAATTATTTTTTACTTGACTCTTGACAAGAATTTGACAAGATGACTTGTGACCTGTGACAATGTGACATGCCTGTGACGGCCTGTGACCCCTTATCGTGCCTGTGACATGCTTAGTTGCTTTTGTAGGCCATAGGCACAAATTCGAAATGTTTTTACAACAAATCAACAAATCTCTCGACAAATTTCTATGAAATTATCCTTGTGAGTGTGACTGTGGTGAGAATTGCTCCCTTGTTTTCTCAAGTGATGAATCGGAAAGAATACAGTGAAGACATCTGTTGAACATACATACCTCATTTTTCGAAAAGATCATCACCTTCGAAACCCTGGTTCAACAAAAACTGTTCTAGAACTGTTGCCTTGAAACAAACAGCCTACCATCGCTGGCGCAAAAACCCTAACCTCACGACTAGAGCAGAATACGTTGATGCCAGGAATAACTGCAGCCAAACAATAGATTCTTCGAAAGAAACATACAATGCCAAGATAAGATCGAAACTCATAGATTGCCCCAATGGCTCTCGTTCGTTTTGGTCCCTTGCTAAAGCAGTCGGAAGAAATTTCACTAATAGCTCATTTCCACCACTGTCCAAATCCGACGGCACGTTAGCAACAACATCGCAGGAGAAAGCAAATATTTTTGCAGAGATGTTCGCAGCAAACTCTACTTTAGATTCCCAAGGAAAACTGCCGCCAGACATTCCACCCGTTGAGAGTCGAATGCCCGAAATCGTCTTCCGTCAACGCACTATCAGACGAATTTTGCTTGGTCTCAAAACGAATAAGGCTAACGGTCCTGATGAAATTCCACCCATTATCCTCAAAAAATGTGCACCAGAATTAACACCGATTCTCTGCAAGTTGTTTACCATCTCGTACAGGTCGGGTATTTTTCCATCATGCTGGAAGACAGCTAGAGTCCAACCAATCCCCAAAAAAGGGAACAAGAACCTGCCCAACAACTACAGGCCCATTGCCCTGTTATCAGTAATCTCCAAAGTGATGGAGAAAGCCATCAATATTGAGCTTATCAAATATCTGGAGAGCTCAGGAATCATCAATGATAGACAATACGGCTTTCGCCATCGAAGATCTACTGGAGATCTACTTGCCTACGTCACCCATTTATGGCAATATTCAATAGAAAAACACGGGGAATCTCTAGCTGTCGCGTTGGACATTTCGAAAGCATTCGACCGTGTTTGGCACGAAGGACTCCTCCACAAACTACCATCATACGGCTTACCACCTCAGCTATGCCATCTCTTATCGAGTTTTCTTTCAGGCAGATCGCTTCACGTGGTAGTGGACGGTGTATCGTCTGATACCTTTGGCATCAATTCCGGCGTTCCACAAGGATCAATTTTGGCACCAACATTATTCCTGCTTCATATCAATGATCTGTTGGGAGTAACAACTTGCCCCATCCACAGCTTTGCAAATGATAGTACCCTCCATACTGCGTTCTCTTCCAGAATTCCCATTTCTTCCCAGGAAACTAAGAACTCACGGCGCAGGCAGGTCAATGCTGTCAATGAAGATCTTGCTGAAATCACAGCCTGGGGAACAAACAACCTAGTTGAATTCAACGCCACCAAAACTCAAGCCTGCATTTTCTCTAGAAAGGCGGAACTCAGTATGCCCGATATTGTGATGTCTGGCTCCACCATCCCCACCAAGCCCACCATATCTATGCTCGGTATTTCCATCAGCAACACTCTTTCATGGGATAATCATGTCAGATCCATCGCAAAAGCTGCTTCACAAAAACTCGGATTCTTGTTCCGTGCGAAAAGCTACTTTACACCTCAACAGCTTCTCATGATCTACAAAGCGCAGATACGGCCTGTTCTAGAATACTGTTCCCACATATGGGGTTCAGCACCAAAACATACACTGATGCTCTTAGATTCCATCCAGAGAAGAGCCATTCGCCTGGTGGGTGACGCCACACTCACTCACTCTTTGACATCATTGGAACACCGTAGAAAGGTCGGCGACCTTTCACTTTTCTATCGATACTTCCACGGGAAATGTTCTTCGGAAATCTCTGCTATCATCCCTTCACTAGCAATACCAATCAGACGAACTAGACAAGCCCAGTCAGCACATCCTTTCGTTGTCAACCTCGAAAGATGTCGAACAGCACTTTATCAAGACTCCTTCATCCATAGAACGGCTAGGCTCTGGAATTCATTGCCTGTGGAAGTATTCCCAACAACATATAATCTCCAAAAGTTCAAAAAAAATTCCAATACCTACCTCCTGTCCCTATCCTCCCTAGGAACGCACGATGTTCTTTGAACATTATAGGGATTCCCTTTCGTGCGCTCCAAGCGATAAAAAAAAAAAAAAAAAGCCGATAGTGATTCCGTGATTACCTATTTCAATGATGTTTTTTTTTTCAGGAATTTTTTTGTAAACTTGTATATGACTTGTATTCGCACAGATTATTTGTTGCGCCCTGTCTCTTTGCGTCTTGTTTCTAGGTGGCTCGTTTTCATTGACAAAACTAAAGTCTCTAGATCATTAAAAAAGAATGCAGCGATGATCGGTCCGTACCCTGTTAAGTTACCTTGATGTCAATTTCCATCAAGGGACCCTAATAATTACAAAATTCATTGTCAGATTGGTCAGAGTCGTAGAAAAACTTAAAATAGTTAGAATCATTAACTAGACCCACGGGGTCTTGAGAGGAAGGAAGAACATCCTTGAAAGCCTAAATCACTACACAAATCATAACAGTGGGCTGACGCTATGCTATTCGTGGCATTTCGTGGACCAGAATAAATAGGCCTGTTCGTTTTTGTTTGCTCTACCTGCTAAACATGATTTTTTTCTATGACTTTCTCTGTTTACATCATGCCATGAACAGAGACAACTATGGGAACAAAATCAACTTCAGCAAGTTTAGCAACACAAACGAACAGGCCGAAAATTTCAACATATCACGTGATGGGAATGGTTCGAAAGATTTAGGAACTTCTCTTAATAGAGGGGAAACACGCCACTGGCCGATCGGGTAAATTCGGAAATTTATGCAGCCAGCTTTGGCAGCCCACTTCACATAGGTCTGAAATGTCTGAAACTTGAACTGGAGCAGGGAGCACTGGTTCCTGGTTCACTCATCACTGGTTTGTTTCGGCTTTCGGCGCGGTTCTCGCACTTCTCGGTTCAGTTACAATGATGGAAAGGAAAAATATAATGTAATTAGTGCAGCAGAAAAGGTGAACAATATTTCTTAGTACTAAAAAAAAAATAGTGTGTTAGCTCTACAGGAAAGCTTGGTGAATAAAATCAAGGTTTTCTATTCATCAGAAGAATCAATGAAAATGTTTTCTAACTCCAAATCGACTCTCAACTTCCTGTCAGGTCTGTGCAGATACTCTCAAAGAGTACCTCAGGCCCTTCGAAGCAAAAAACCAAAGTCAATTAGAAACACAGTAAGTAAAAATCACTATAACATACTTCTGATAACCCTCACCAGGTACAAAACTTTGTAGATTTCAAACAGCTGAGAGCTTTAGGTGGTACTGGAGGAGATGGCTGTATTTCCTTTCTATCCCTTTTCTGCAATGAATTTGCAGGACCAGATGGTGGTGATGGAGGCAATGGAGGCCATGTAATATTTCAATCTTCACATGACATTAAAGATTTGAATCATGTACCTACTCTGGTTAGAGCATTAGATGGAGAGAAGGGCTATAATAAAGAGTGTCATGGCAAGAATGCTGAACATAATGTTGTACCAGTACCTATTGGAACCATTATAAAAAATGCAGATGGTAAAATTGTTGGAGATTTGTCCAATGAAGGATTGATGTTTGTAGCAGCTAGAGGAGGTGCAGGAGGCAAAGGGAATAGATTTTTCATCTCAGACACAGAGCAGGCACCAAAAGTTTGTGAATTTGGGGCACCTGGAGAAGATCTTGAGTATACTATTGAGATTAAAAGTATGGCTCATGTTGGTTTAGTAAGAATGTTTTTCTATTGATTTGACTATCTTTGAGAATGTGTATCTTAGATAGGGTTGCCAAATGCTGGTAAAAGTACTTTACTGAGAGCAATATCAAGAGCTAGGCCCAAAGTAGCTCCATATCCTTTCACTACATTGAAGCCTCACCTTGGTATGGTTCAGTATGATGATTATGAACAAATTGCAGGTAAACATTATGAGACAAAATCAAAAATGATTTAACAGATCTTTGAAAACTTGTTGGCAGGAAGTAGACAGGAGATTCCAAAGGGCTCCAAATGGCAACAATTTTGAGCAAACATCTGTGGAATTATTTCTTGAGTTCAAGATTTTAATGCAGATCAACATATTGTAAATTTACTACCTATTTTATTGAGTTATTTGCATCAATCTTTTTTTAATGATAACATTCCACTTTCAGTTGCTGATTTACCTGGTTTGATCCCAGACTCACACAAAAATAAGGGCCTTGGCATACAATTCTTGAAACATGCAGAACGTTGCATGGCTCTGCTCTATATAATTGATATGTCACTTCCAGAACCTTGGCTGCATCTAAGCACACTCCAGTATGAGCTGTCACAGTTCAGTGAGAGTTTGAAGCATAGACCACAAATAGTTATAGGGAATAAAGTGGATTTGCCAGAGGCCAAAGGAAAAATAGAACAGATGAGGGAGCATACACATTTACCCATTATTGCAATAAGTGCAAAGTTGGGTACAAATGTAGCAGAGCTTCTTAGAGAAATAAGGGTTATATATGATGAGAATGAGGAGTTGAATAAAGGAGTCTAGAAAAGTGTAAGAAATTATTAATCCTCACAGATCATCTTAATCAGTATTTAGTCAAAGTTGGAAATAACATGGACTATAAATTTGAAATTATTTCTTATGTTATTGGCAAAACGAATGAAATGTTTGAATGAAATGATGGGATATTGTATTGATGTAACAATTGTGACCTACTATATCGCATAGGCGTCGCTGCGATGTCAGAGAGATGTTATTTTGTCCTACTCAAGTTTGATCCATGCGACGTCGCCGTGATAAGTTCATATGTTATTTTTGCTGGAGAAACGATGTGATGCGAGGTGACATCGCATTAAAACGTAAAAGTTTCCACAAAGATGGTGTCAGAGCACAAGCAAAAACAAATGTAAAAATGATAACAAAGTAGACAGGCTGCTGTGATAGCTTTCAAGAACACCGATAGGTGGCGTATTTTCTATCGTGATACTCCACCAATCAGAAATTTAGAATTATTTCCATAGTAACCATATCATATTGCAATACAAAGCGCGTCGTAAAATGTTGACGGTCGTTCAGAACTACTCAAAAAATAATCGCATCGAATACAATTCGAACTTCAAACTGTTCAAGATTATACATCTCAAACTTCCTGCATAATTACAAATCGTGTCAGTTTGGCAGAATAATTCTCCCGCTTCGCGATCAGATTATTTCAACTGTCAAACTGACACGCTGTGATTATGCAACAAGTTATCTATGTATAACACGAAAATTTTGAAGTACTTCACTGACCTCACAAACGTCTCTTGCCAGTAATTCAATTAGTAGCATGCTGCCGGCTGCCGTGCCTCGGAAAATAGGTTTGTTCGTAAACCCCTAAAAGTACAGTTTAATGTAGAAAGTGTAGTGCAGTGTAGTGTAAAAAGTGCAGTGTAGAGGAAGTGTATAGTGTGAAAGTGTAATAACTGAGTTGGTCGTTCGTTAACCTTTGAATCTTGTGGTTTTGGTTTTGAAATTGCATATATTCTCAACACAATATGTGTAAATATGTGTCCCTACAAATTCATTTCCTCAGTAATTTTTGTCCAAAGTTTCTTTTTCATTTTGTAATGGTCCTTATTTGATTTATATAGTGACAATAAATATTTGGTATTTTGTTCTATTCATTCAGCTCGAGTACGTTCTGATGAGCAGCTTGCCACATCAACTTCCTGTGGATCATGTAATTGCTCACTTTCTTGTTGAGCATTATTTCGAAAAACCAAATCCATTATTTCTCCTTCATATTCCATGTAATCATGGTCCCAAATATTTTCGATGCTCGAATGTGGGACATATATCTCTTCTTGGTTATCTAAAGCAATCAAACAGTAGTCATTATATTATCCTCATTGGATACCTACCGATACTTACCTTGACAAACATGAATTTGTATCAAAATTTATTGAAGACAGGTTAACTGTCTTCATCATATTCTATACAGGCAGTACGACGAGCCGTTGTTTCTTCCACCATATACCTACCAGAAATTACTGACTGAACCTGAGGAGTTGAAGACTGAACCTGAGGACTGATAACCACCCGCACCCGAACGAATCACCCAAGAAACATTCCAAAAATCAAATAAAACACCAATTATCAATCTGACATTACGACTTACGACTGACATTATAAAAGTCTTCAGTGAAAATCGCACATCACACTTCTCACACTACCTCCCGCTGCATTGTAAATATTGTTACTCTGATCAATCTCTGATAAAATACACTAGAGCAAAGGAACATAGCTGGTGTAACACTATTTAACACACCACACTTTTCAAGCAAAAGAGAGGAGCTATAGGTCGCGTGCACGAAGACCGACCCTGGAGGCAAAATATTGAAACACAACCTCATTCTTCTGTGAATTATTGAAACACAACCTCATTCTTCTGTGAATTATTGAAACACAACCTCACTTTTTTATTTGGTTACAGAGGAATCAAAAGGTTGAAATAGTTTTTCACAATATTTTGACATACGAATCGTGTTTCTTGCGTTATTCATTAATTCAAGCATGCCTTCGCATTGTGCTGTTGTACAATGCACAAAAAATGCAGCAAGAGACTAGGGAATATGATTTTTCAGGTAAATAGTAATCTCACATAGTTAGCATTATGAAATGTTGTTATTCCTCATTAAAATTCCTTCTGCCTTCTGCCACTTCTGCAATACAAGCTAATGCTGCTAACTGCTAATAGATTGAAAATGTCTACAACACACACGATCGTCAGCATGTCAGACCAGTCCTACCGATTGATTGCATGAATCCAATCTTCTTGCATTATTCTAGAAATTTCAGGTATATTTCTATTAGCTGATCCTATTGCAGAAGGAATTCCGATGAGAAATCAGAGAAATAACCAAATTTCAAAAATGAAAACTATGTGAGTGACTATAGTAGGTACTCACTTTTGAATCATAATGTACCATCCGGCCGGATTTCTTCATCTTCCGCTGCAGTTTTTGTGCATTTTACAACAGCACAATGTGATGGCATTAGCGAATTGATGAATAGCGGAAAAATACGATTCATATGCCAAAATAATTGTGGAAAACTATTTCGATCACTTGTAAACAAATATGTTTTGCCTCCAGGGTCGGTCATCTGACAGTTCTTGCACGCGACCTATGCTATTTCCCATAACCTAACTTTTTCGCCAGTTCTGTCACCGAAAAAAAAAAACACTCAAATTTCAGTAGGGATTGTAGGGGACAAAAATGTTTGTTCGTAGTTTTCTTGGCAAATGCTGCTTCAGAATGAATGTACCATCACATAACTTCCATTCATCTTCACAATGCTTTGAGATCCAAAAACTAACCAGACTTCGAGTGGTGGACAATAGTGAAATTGGGAAACAAGCTATGGCAGAAGGGAAACCACCTAGATGTATACACGTTTACAATAAAACTGGTGTAGGAAGAATAGGTTCTGTATGATTTCACCATCAAAGTTCGAATTTGATCTGCCCATCTTGGCCTCATTTTTCAATAAAAGAAGTGAGATTATTAATTTTCTTGTTTTTCCAGGAGACAAAGTCTTGGTCGCTATAAAAGGTGAGAAGAAGAAAGGAATACTGGTGGGTCTCAAGCAAAATCAAAAGACCAAAGTCCCCAAATTTGATAGTAACAACATTGTTTTAATAGATGACAATGGATCACCTCTTGGCACAAGAATTCATGTGCCAATACCTACCATCTTGAGAACAATTTTGAAAGAAAAGACTCAAGCCAAAGGAGCAGATTACACAAAGTTGTTAGGAATTGCTTCTAGATTTGTATAGTAGTAAGTTATTGTAGGTACTGTAGATTTATTGCAATTTTTTGTTCAGAATACAAGTATTCCAATTGATATTAGTTTGCCTATATTGTTCCAGGAAGTAAAAATAAAAAGAAATGCCTGGTTAGAGCTCTGCACTTTGCAGAACTAAAATGTCCACAGTTGTGGAACTTCTATATTTTCAACTATAGATTCAGATCCACATCTATTCTGTCATTTGTGTCTAGAATATAGATTAATTCGGTGTCAACTTATGATGAAACATACAGTAGGTAACTATAAAATATAAATTCCTATTAAATAATCACTTTCCCATTATGAGTGTCTTTCCAGGAACCTTAACAGAAGTTCTAACTAAAAAACAGGATTTAAAAAAAACTGAAAACTTACATACATACATACTTTGGTGATCTGAGAAGGTGACAAAATTTGTAAGTTGTAAGATATCATATACCTAAATAAAGTAATTAAGAGGGATGCTAGTCACCCATCTAAGACTGTATTATTTTGGTATTACTTTCTATAAAACCTAATGATATTGAATTTCCACATATTGTTTTCTCTCAATCAAGGATCTATAGTGAAAAATATTAGTGTGAAACTTTCACTTAGACCAAAAATCAAATAACCACTAATTCTAAAAACTGGAGTTTTGAATGATGACAATTTTTTAAAGGTTCAACTCTGCATCTCAAAATAGTATTTTTGGTTTGTTATGAGCTCAATTTATAAAATTTACATTATTTTAATTTCTGTTCAATCTCCATGATTTCACTTTCACAGCCATAATCCAATAGCACTGAAACCTACTGAAACTATATAGATTTTCTATAAGGACAATATATGGTTTCAATAAATAATATAATTCATACTTCAGAAACTATATATACATAAATGAATTTGAATGATATCCACCTTCACTAGATAAGCTACTAGTTCAATTATCAGCAATGTATTTAAGAATATGCAGATTGAATCCCTTCCTTCCTATACTGACATTCAACATTTTCATTATTTACAATGATAATGTTTCAATTTGCTTGATAAGGTCAGTATGCTGGAACTCTTCTGGATTTGCAGTGAAAGTCTCCAGCAACTTCTTCTTTTCTGGTTGTTCTCTAACATAATATAGTTGCAGTTGGTTTGCCAGACACTGTGCTTCTTGAGCATCAATGACATTTTTATCATATTCACCTCTCATCAGAACTATGCCTTTATCCTCTTTAAATTCATCATAATGAGTTATTGTGAGACATTCTGGTGCATTCTCCTTATGCACTTGGTAATAAAGGAGAGGGGTGAAATGAACAGTATTTGAAGCAAACTGGCACATGATGAATTCATATCCTTGACTTCTTGGCAGAGCAAAAACAAAGATAGGGTGCTTTTTGCTGTTTTCAATCAACTGGTCATAGTCACAATCAGGTATAGAAGCTGCTATGCAGTATTCTTTCTGAATATGGTATTGCTGCCAAATTACTTGAATCTCATCAGCAGTCTTGTCCTTTATCAAGTCAGTTTTCATTATTTTTTCTAATGGTTCTTTGTAGATCTGAGCACAAGCTGCAATTTTTTCTTTCGGGTTCAGCAGCTGTGCATACTGTCTTCCTTTAGGTGCTTCAATTTTCTGGGTGTTGTTTCTACTCACGTCCACAATGCGTGATTTGAATTGATCGGGATTTTCTTTTTTCAACTTGGAAATTTTTGATGCATATTTATCAAAATATGGGTTGTTCTTCAAATCTTCCATGGCTTCCTGCATTTTTCTTGATGAAGTTCCTATGTTATTTCTAGGCACCCGAAAAGTTCCTCTATATAAAATTGAACGCATGAAAGAAGTTAACTGCATTGTTTTTTTTATAATATCATGAATATAATAAACCCATATTATAATGTTTATTCATCAGAAAATATCTTTGAGAAAATGAATTTTATTTTTAGCTGTCTCTGTCAGAGAAAACATAACCTTACTTTTCTTCTTTTTCGTTAGGCATTTCATGGATTTTTCGCTGGCGCCCAAAGACTAAACACGCCACAGCTTCATGAATAATTTTATTAGTGTTCGAGTACGACCGCCTAAAGTTTACATTACGAAGCTTTCCCAAATCTCTTCATTGGTCACACTGAATCGTGTGATGATGAGTAGCGCCTTTTTTTTTTGTATATTTGACCGCACGAAAGGAATTCCTATATGTTTGTGAAACATCGCGCGTACCTTGAGAGGACAGGGAGAGGAGGTAGGTGTTGGATTTTTTGGAACTATCGGAGGTTACGTTACCTTACGTTACGTTCTCGGGAATACTACCATTGGCAAATAATTCCAAAGCTTCCCCGTTCTATAGACGAACGAGTTTTGGTAGAGTGTTGTTCGACATTTGTCAAGGTAACGACGAAGGGATGTGCTGACTGGGTCTGTCAAGTTCGTCTGACTGGTATTGCAAGTGATGGAATTATAGCAGACATTTCTGAGGAACATTACCCGTGGAAGTATCTATAGGAAAGTGGAAGGTCGCCGACTTTTCGACGGTGTTCTAATGGGGTCGAAGAGTTGGTGAGTGTGGCATCACCCACCACGCGAAATGGCTCTTTTCTGGATAGAATCTAAGAGCATCAGCGTATGTTTGGATGCTGAACGCCATACATGAGAACATTATTCTAAAACTGGTCGAATCGGTGCTTTGTAGATCATGAGAAGCTGTTGTGGTGTAAAGTAGATTTTCGCACGGGACAATAAGAAACCGAATTTTTGTGAACCAGCTTTTGCGATGGATCGAACATGATTCTCCCATGGGAGAGTACTGATGGTAATTCCGAGCATAGATATAGTGGTATCGGTGGGAATGGCGGCAACCATACATTGTTATATCAGACATACTAAGTTCCACCTTTCTAGAGGAAATACAGGCTTGCGTGTTGGTGGCGTTGAATTCAACAAGAGGTTGTTGGTTCCCCAGACTGTAATTTCCGCAAGATCTTCATTGACAGCGTTGGCCTGCCTTCTCCGCAAGTTCTTAGTTCCCTGGAAAGACATGGGATTTCTAGACGAGAACGCAGTATGGAGAGTACTATCGCCTGCAAAACTGTGGATAGGGCTCCCAATAGTTCGTTGATATGAAGTGTAGTAGGACCAATGTTGATGCCAGAATTGATCCTTGTGGAACGCCGGAATTGATGACAATGGTATCAGAAGATACACTCCGTCCACCACCACATGCCTGAAAACTCGATAAAAGATGGCATAGCTGAGGTGGTAAGCCGTAGGATGGTAGTTTGTGGAGCAGTCCTTGATGCCAAACACGGTCGAATGCCTTCGATATATCTAGCTAGAGATTCCCCATGTTTTACTAGTGAAGTTTGCCATATATGCTTGACGTAGGCAAGTAAATCTCCAGTTGATCTTCGGTAGCGAAAGCCTATCATTAATGATTCCTCAGATTTCCAGATATTTGATGAGCTCAATGTTGATGGCTTTCTCCATCACTTTGGAGATGACCGATAAGAGGGCAATTGGCCTATAGTTGTTGGACAGGCTCTTGTGTCCTTTTTTGTGGATTTGTTGGACTCTATCTATTTTCCAGCAAGATGGAAAAATACACGACTTGTAGGAGATGGTGAATAGATTGCAGAGAATCGGTGTCCATTCTGGTGCACGTTTTTTGAGAATAATGGGTGGCATTCCATCAGGACTTATTCGTTTTGTGACCGAGCAGAACGCGTCTGATAGTATGCGTTGACGACAGACAATTTCAGACATTCGACTTTCAACGGGTGGAATGTGTGGCGGCACCCTTCCCTGGGAATCCGAGGTGGAGATAGCTGCGAATATTTCTGCAAAAATGTTCGCTTTCTTTTGCGTTGTTGTTGCTTATGTGCCGTCGTCTTTAGAGAGTGGTGGGAATGAACTATCAATAATATTCCTTCCGACTTCCGACTGCTTTAGCGAGGGACCAAAACGAACGGGAGCCATTGAGGCAATCTATAAGTTTTGATCTTATTTTGGCATTGTATGATTCTTTTGGTGCATCTATTGTTTGGTTGCAGTTATTCCTTGCTTCATTATTTTCTGCTCTAATCTCGAGGTTTGGGTCCTTGCGCCAGCGATAGTAGGCTGTTTGTTTCAAAGCAACAACTCTAGAACAATTCTTGTTGAAGTGTTTCGAAGCTGATGGTCTCTTCGAAGAAATAGGTATTTGTGTGTGTCCATTTCAAGCGTGAGTATCCTCAGAATGAAAGCATATTCTATGGAAAGGAAACTCGAAAAAAAAAAAGGCGTGGGGGTGCTGGAGTAGTTGATGAAATGAAAAATGGGCAGGTTGTGGATATGAGTGTGTGATCAGAATTGCCAAGTGGTACTAGTACAAATATATGGTGTATGGTGCTGAATTATTAGTGAGGAATAAGTCGAGTGTGTGGGCTGAATGATTGTTGACATCACGTAGGTTCCTTGATAAGCTGCTCTTAGCCGTGAGTGATGGCGAAAGCTTCGGCTTGTCGCCAATAGGAGTGTACGAGCCAAGCAGTGTTGGGTACATTGAATTCGCCCATGATGATGATGTCTGCTGCTCGATGGTTCTGCTGAATTTGGTCAACCTTCAGGGACAAGAACTCGAAGAGTTCTCCAAAGGATGGATCATTTGGGGAACAGTAAATGAAACAAAGATATTTTTCTATTTCTGGTTATCGAGTTTGAACCACATAACATCAAAATTATTGGGTCGCAAAGTTCTCGATGATATGAGAGATTCGTTTTAGAATAAAAGCAGAGAACTACCTCCCTTGAACTTGTATCTTATGTGGAGCGCGTACCCAGGGAAATAAAGCATATAGGTCGTTGTTGGTGGATGAATTGACCTCGTGTCTCAGTCAGGGCCAATATGTCTCGCTTTTCATCTTGAGAACACCATCGATTTTTCTATATTGAAGAGGAATAATTATTCCTTAAGGTTGGCGTGGAAGGAAAAGGAAATTGGATTGGGTTGGGTTGACCGGAATCATGAACGAGCCGTGAAACATGATAACCCATTTCACAGCGCCTAAGTCGATGTGGTGGTATCGCACCGGGCGATGGTGTTAGCCATCTTCCACCTATTGGCGTCCTTTTAGTCGCCGAAGGACTAACCGTGGGGTTATTCTTTGTAATTTGACACTGTTCAAAACTGGTGGTGATAAAATCTTCATTTCAACACCAGTTAGGTACGTAATAAAAATATAGATGGACGAGGAGGATAGTGTATTTTGTGCTGCTTCCTCGATATCACTTGGGAAATCTGAACAAGAATCAGCCGTTTTCCAATAATGAAGATATCAAACGAGTCTATTTCGTGAATTTCTTCGCTAATTTGTAAATATATTATTGTTTGACTTGTCTACTAAATTTTGTACATAATCGGTAGAACTCCTGAAGAACTGGTCATTAGAAAAAATATTGTACGTAACTAGCACTATAGTTAGGAAACGCATTTTGTGTAACTCTGTTTTTGGCGGGATCTCGCTTCGTTCGTCCCCCAAAATCTGATCGTTACACGTAAATATCTATTTTCTAATTTTGACGAGAAAAATGTTCCCCAAATTGATCAGATTGATAATTTCAATGAATTGTATCAAGAATTTTGTGGGTACAGTATTTTGCATGCCAGTTTGAAGTTTCGTTCATACGACAAGATATATCGCGTTAGATACAACAAGGATGGACAGAAGACAAAATTTTTGGATGATACAATGAATATTACATCACCAATAATGAAACATTTTACTTTACGCAACTGGTTACGTGAAGTAGAACGTTTAAAAACTTTAGTCAGTTTTGAAAACTGTCATATTACATCTCAAAGTTAGGAAAAGTTATTTTACTGGTTTTCCAGCTGCTTCTTTCATACTTGGTGACTACTGTTGGACTCTTATTGCTATAGGCTATTGCGGCGAAACTCTCTTAAATCTCAGGGTTTTTTGGTTAGGGTTCACACTGTAAATATTTTCGGCAAAGAAACGAGCTGAGTCTGACAAACCAGTTTTATTTTTCCTAAACTTGCTAGGTATCTACAAACTGACAGATAAAACTTTAAATTTTCCCGCGTGACTGATTGACAATTGAATGAAAGAAAAATAGGAACTTAGCGGAGTCCAGTATTTCAGCACAGTTGGAAACCAGTAAATTATATTCAATATCAGACACTTCTCTGGGTATAAAAGGAAGTAATAATCGTAGGTGGCGTTCTCTGATACGCAATGATCGATATTCACTAGGACCACGAAGAACAATTTCGTGAAAAAAGTGAATAGACTTTTTCGACGTTCTAAATAAAAACTGGCATAGGTACCACACGGCAAATAGTAATTCGAATTATTTAGCTCCAGTTCTGCATTCGTCAACGGATTTTTCTGAAATTCGGTACAGTTGTATAAGCAACTATTTCGGATTTGATCACATTAGAATCCAATATGGCGGACTTCCGGTTTTTCTGGAAATGCCAGCAATTTTGTTTTTTAAATGGAACACCCTGTATTTTTTAACATATTCAAGTTTAACAGGTCAAAACAAGTGCAATGTTGATGTCTAATGTCATTTATTCCACAGCTTACCTAGTTGAAGAATTATTCTAACTGCAAGGAAATTCATAAACTAGTTGTTGATTTTTGAATGTATACAATTTGTTACTGCACCGAAAAACAAAAATAATATGTCATCTTGTTCCTTAATGTATGTTTTAGAGAGACGGGTAGGTGGCCCATAGGGGTTCCATTTGAAAAAAATTAATTTCTGATCAAAATAAAGTGATGTGACTTTATTAATTCCTGGATAAGTGACACAAAAATAATTTTTCAGAAAAAATTATGTTCTCCTGTTATGTGTGACTCATTGTGAATAGTCTTGACCACATCTCATTTATCCACGAGGTAAAATGAAAAAACAGTTTTAATTTGAATTTTTCCGAAAAAATGACATTCGAAATAAAGATTGCATTTGTTTCGACCTGTTGAACTTGAATATGTAAAAATATACAGGGTGTTTCATTTGAAAAAACAAAGTTGCTGGCATTTCCAGAAATACCGGAAGTCCGCCATATTGGATTGTAATGTGATCAAATCCGAAATAATTGCTTATATAACTGTACCGAATTTCAGAAAAATCAGTTGACGAATGCAGAAGTTACAGGGGTGGCCCGATACCCTGTGTCACCCGGTATATCCGTTTTGCTACACTATAGATATGATCCCGAAACAATTCACAAAATAATAGCAAAAAGACAGCGCGCTTATATATAGTGACTCTGAAAGTGTAAAAGTAGGTATAGTATTCTATTTTCAAAATGAACAAACTTGTTTTTGAAAATTGCTACTATTGCGAAACCCCTCTAGCTCCATATATTTGTCGTCGATATCGTTTGGGACACCTTGTGCATTTATACCAAAAAGTTTATAGATGCGCGAACGGCTAGCACAAACCGAGGCTCCGCAGAATGGCATAAACCTTTTTATATGTTATCAGAAAATTCACTTCAATTCTGATTTCCAACCCATCGATAGTAGTTGTTCTTATGGCGTTACAACCCAGTTAACACAGATTGATCCCAGAGATATTTGCGAAATTTCCCTGGAATAATAATATGTTCAAATAAAAAACTTACATTCTATTATTTATAACTTATTGGTGAACTCACAATACGTATAGCGACTCCTCATTCAACATCTGGAATTGATTAATTACGTTTGTTACATAAATAGACAAGAATGTGAGGTTCCAGTAAGTCTCTTGGTTGTTGGGAAGCCTCACAAGTCCAACTACATTTCATGTCTCTAATCCTAAAAAATGTGATGAATATTGCGAATGTTTTGTGAAATAAAGAGTCTCCTGGCAATACCAATGATATTTTCATGTAATTCGCATTGTTACCTAGCGAGACATGGATGTGATATCCCACGGATGTTTGTGTTTACTAGGAAGGAGTACAATTTTTGCCATACTTGATGTTTTTGGAGCGAATGAATCCATTTGGATTAACTCCTTGCTTATTTCGAGGCCAGTAACACACAAAGAGTTTCTTTACATAACCAAAAGTTGTTAATTTCATTGTCTTTTCATGCAAGATACAACGAATAAACTGAAATTTGTTATCCACTGTAATTATCAGTATATGTGTTCTATTATGGTTCCACCCAGTATTCGGTTGGAGAATCGACGCAATGAATATAATCATGAAAAATATCTCATGATTGTAAATAAAATAATTTTAAACACGATCCAAACACTTCGAATTATCTACTTGAAAGAGTTGATAAAATCATGTATCGAGATAATCAGCAATATCATATTATAATATGATGATTGAATAAGTGGCTGACCCCGTTGCAGAGACGGATTGGTTCTTACATAAAGGGACCCTTCCCTAGTCCCCTTTTGAACGGCTGTTTTTTTTTTCTTGTTTTTACTCAATACAAAAATATGTATCTTTCAAAATGGCGTCTGGATGCCGCCTAGAAAACCACGATAATTTGAAACAAATCCAAAACTCACATATTCTCTCTATATCCTACCGAGATACCTATACGCATGATGGTCTCAAGAAGGTCGCCAGCCGGAAAGCCAGGAGGGGGGGGGGGCATAAAAAACTGAAGAGAAAAATCAAATAAGGAAAGTTTAATGGGAAAAATCAGAAAACGGAAAAACATCTACATAGGATACCTATCAATTGAACACTAATCTTCTAGGGTTCTTTGTGAATTCGTTGGTCACTCTGTTGACGAAATCGTTCAGGTTTGTGAAAATATGTTGCCTGTGTACATATTATTGCGAGGCCATTGAGTCGAGCTTCAGACATGGTGCTCGATCCTCAACCAGGTTTTGATTCTCCGAAGGCTACTAAATGACCTTTCAACTGTACAAGTCTCACAAGGTAAAGCAACAAGGATCTTCAAAGCCTCCTTAGTTCCGGAAGTTCTTGGCTCAAAGTGGGCGTTATCATAAGTAAAATCACGATGTTCTGAATATTCCAGATAATTCTGTCGCTTCATTGTTCACGAAATTGTGTTGCCAAGCAACACCACGAGTCCGTCAATTTCCGGTCAGTATTCCGAGCAGTTCGTCTACTACGAGACTCCACATAAAGGGTGATAGTACCCCTCCTTGTGGACATCCCCTACTTGTGCTGATTTGAAAACTGATCTCACCTACTTCCGTTCTTGTGGCCAGCATTTGACACATCCACCTGGAGGTGGTTTGGTCAATTCCCTCTTGTTTTAATTGCTTCATGAGAGGTGTTGTCAAATGCCTCCTTTATGTTTAAGAAGGCGCCCATGGCCGTTTCTTTATGCTCGAGTGATTTCTGGATGTCTTCTGTTAATACGAATAGAGCGGTTTCCGTCGATCTGCCCGCCCACCATTGGCGGCTCCTCAGAGGAGGCAACTGAGGCTGAGCCTCCTCAAGTATTTCTATACATCAAATAGTTGGATATACTTGTATAAAATACACCGAAATAGCTAACTTACGTTCGTTTCATCGGTTTTATTTCCTGATATAAAGTTCAATTTGAGAATTTGGCAGCAATACTTTTATTTGAAAGTATTCAGAATAGAATATATATTTGAAACTTGGCAACATCCAACGGAAAGCAGCATCTAACCAATGAAATTTGCCAGAATCACGATTCTCGAGGGAGCACCTTAAATATTAAAATATAATTTTGCCCACTCCAATCTGAAATTATCAACATTTCAAATGTAATGAGTTGGTTCATTTTGTATCTTTGAACGACTTCCCAAATATTGAAATTGCACTGAGCATGTATTTGGTTTTGATATCAAATTGTACTGGAGAGCGCTCATTTTCAAAAATGAAAATTATTAAAATTTTACATCGAACTGCAATGGAACAAAACCGTCTACCAATAAAGCTATCCCTATAATTGAGAGTGATTCACTGAAGGAACTTGATTTCAGCGAAATCATCAACCATTTTTTCCGGTAAAAAAGCAAAAAGCGTTAACGAATGGTAAAGCTAAAATTAAGTTTCAGATAGTTCTTGTTTATGACTATATTTATATATTACGTAGTTGACATAATAAATTATATAAATTATTGACTGAGGAAAGTTGTTTATTATATTTGGAAAATAATCAGGGGGCCTCCACTACTTTGTTGCCACAGGGCCTCCAGACCCCTAAATCCGGCTCAGCTTCTTACGAAAGGGCTTTAAGATGATGTGTGGGAAGTAGAGGGTAGTTTCATCATTTGATATTTCAAAGTCGGGGTTGCTAGGGTTTACGGGGATGAACATATCGAGTTGGATTAGATCCTGTATTTTTGAGAAGGAAGATCTTCATTTCTTTTTCAAATATATAGGGAGTTCCATTAAACTAACGAAGTTGGTACCAATTTCTTATATCAGCGATATTCATTTGTTTCACCTCTTACAATTTTATGGAGGTTTAGAAAAAAACCCTTCAAATCTTGTATTGGAAGTTTTTTTCAATGATGAGCCCTGTAGAATCTGTTTAAATATACGGAATGACCCTGTAACTATGGCAATAGAATTGAAAACTATTCAATTATGAGATAACATGTAGATCAAGAGATAAAATACTCAATGTTTTCTACATAAACCCCGAGATGAACCCTTTTCAGTCATTGTCAATCGCATGTAAAAAAATAAAAATGAAACTTTTAGTGATTATTTTGACAGCTTACCTTTCCTGTAAGTATCTAGGTATATTATAGCAGACATGATGCCTAACCATACATAATGATTTAATAGACTTTATACACGACCGGGCGTAAAGAGGCACTTTATCGCCCGGATTCGTGAGCGCAAATTAGCATTTTAGCTCCCTAGTGTGGTAAAGGGGTACAGCGGACGGTAAAGAAGTCACGCGGGCGATAAAGTAGGTAATTTCACTGTTATTCCAGTAATTTCTGGTACTTACTAAGCCAGTGGCATACATCATATTTAATTTGGCCAAATGAAATCAAAATCAATAATAATAAATTCCATATTGACAGTAAATAAATGTATAAACGGTCGTGCATAAAATGTTGTATGTATTTCGGAAGTAACTTGCATTTATTTACATAGGCGTCTTACTTACACGCTGCGGTCCATAAAATCGTACTTTAAGCCTTTGATACATAAATAACTAATATTATCATCCTAGCAGGGTTTTTATATAAGTGAGTATTTGCAAACATTGATATAGGCGTTCTGAATTTTTCTATTCATGTCCAAATTTTTTCATTATTTTATTTACCTAATTTATCACCTATCCACATAGTATATGTACATACGTCTAATGTACTACGAAGTACGTCCATTTCGAAAATTGAGGACGTCTATTGGATTTTCTGATTGATACATTTTTCTATGTATAATGGACGTACCAAATCAGACTATAAACGTTCCATGGACTTCCATTTGATGAAAAACTTTCAAAAAATTCATGACACGAGTCGAATTTACGCCACATATCCATTTTATATTGACCGCATCTCAAAAAACGCTAAAGAATATTTATCACATTCTAGATAGATACACACAATGCAAAGGTCGTATCGTATAGTTGCATTGGATTGATCACGAGTGTATCTTGTCACGGTCAACTGTGTAGGTTTTTCAACGTTTTTCATCTCTTAAAATATCGTGAAATCCAATGATTATTTCTAGAATGCACACGCAGCATCACAAACAATGACCATAATATGTAAAGGTTCCAATTTACACCTTCTGTAGATTTAGTTCTGTTGATTTTTTCTTATTATTATAGCTGTCCTTGAAGGCAATATTTCATAACGAAAACCTCGAGAGGTTGTCGGAAAATATTCAAATTGTAAGTGGTGCACTAAATGTGTTAATACTTGTTACATATAGTATAATTTACCTACTACCAATATGTGATGTGGAACATTACGACACTGATTGTAGTTCACATATCGCTACCTAGTACGGTGAAGTAAAAAATATAATTTAAAATTCGGCCTTTGGCCTCGTTTGACAAATTTCCGATCTCATATCCTAATATGGATCTTTACGATACTTGTATCGTAAATATCTATGATTTAAAATGCGAGAAATTAAGGATTGATCAACATTGTTAATTGTGCATCATAGTTGAATGAACGAGTTTTAAAATCTTGAGTTTTCCATATTATACATAATGAGCAGGCTAAATGTGATATTTGTTATTTTCATAAACGTACTATATATTCTAGTATGATGAAAATCTGTACAGAGGTATGTTTTCGTCGTCGTTTTAGGTGAAAATAGTCCGAAATAGTACTAGTTGGCCACAATTACAGCCCGAAAATGAAGTCAATCATTTGTATGTGCATTTCAAATATGAAAAATGAAAAAATACATCAAAATCGTTAATAAATTAAGGTTTTACATGAGTAGGGAGACCTCAAGATTGTAAATGAAATCACTTCCATATAGTAAACCTTTCATATCAATATGTCACCTACTCAGAAAAATGCAAATTCAATGATAGTTAATACCTCCCAATGATCCATTACGTTTTTCTACCAGTGAGGAAGTCAGCGAGCGAACGCTCCTCGACAATCATCCCCATAAAATCTTCAATGATAGTGACTTTTTATTGATCCATTAATTTACTTTTTTCTACCAGAGGGATATTCAGCTATAGCGAACCGACAATGATAGTGACCTGAGGAAATCAGCCAACGAACCCTCCCCGACAATCATCCCCATGAAATCTTCATGTAATGATAGTGACCTCTTGATGATTCATCAATTTAAGTTTTTCTACCAGGGAGCAATTCAGCTTGCGAACCTTCTCCGATAAACATCCCCATAAAATCTTCAATGATATTGACCTCTTATGACCCATTAATTCACGTTTTTCTACCAGTGGGGAAGTCAGCGAGCAAACCCTCTCCGACAATCATCCCCATAAAAAATCTTCAATGATAGTGACCTCTCAATGATCCATTAATTCATGTTTTTCTATCAGAGAGGGAAATTCAGCTAGCGAACCCTCTCCGACAATCTTCCCCATAAAATCTTCAATGATAGTTATCTCTTAAGCGGCGTTCACAACCAAACTTTTTACGTTTCGTATTCTGATTGGTGAAGCAGAATCTGAAAACTAAACCTATGCAAATGTCATTCACAACAACAAAAAATCAACGTGACTTTTTATGGTTCAGTTGCCTTGGTTTTGTTATTTGTTTTTCATCCTGAAATGAAGTAAATAATCATAACAATAATATTGATCAGATAATTAATAATATTCATAGAACTGGCGGTGACGAAAATTGATCCTTATTCAATACTTGAAGATAAAAATCAATCTTCTACAAGAAAATAATGAATTGAACAGTATACCATAGTATACCTATATCTACTATTCTGTGGATTCACGAAAAAATCATGAAAACATCATCATAACTTCCATATTATCACAGAATGTTCAATATTATTATTATTCGCCTATTTTTACTATTTTCACAGACGATGGCTTCTTGCAACGCAAAAAGCTGAATATTTTCAGCTTTTTGCATCATTTCAATTACAGATTTTGCTTCACCAATCTGAATACGAAACGTAGATAAAGCAAAACGTAAAAAGTATGGTTCTGAACCCCGCTTTAATGATCCATTAATTTACGTTTTTCTACCAGGGGGAAATTCAGCTAGCGAACCCTCTCCGAAAATCATCCCTATAAAATCTTCAACGATAGTAACCTCTTAATGATCCATTAATTTACGTTTTCTATTAGTGGGGAAGTCAGCCAGCAAAGCCTCTCCGACAACCATCCCCATAAAATCTTCAATGATAGTGACCTCTTTATGAACCATTAATTTACGTTTCTTTATCAGTGGGAAAGTCAGCGGGCGAACCCTCTCCGACAATCATCCCCAGAGAAAATGGACTCAGAGGTTCTGGCATAACCACCAGATATTGGGACTGCTGCAAACCCTCTTGCTCATGGGCTGACCTTGCCAACTACTCGAAAACCGGAAAGCCAGTAGCCTCTTGCTCGGTAGATGGCGCCACCCAAATAGACGCCGGCGCACAGTCAGGCTGCGCAGAAGACGGATCTGGTGAAGCGTACACTTGCTCCAACCAACAACCCTTCATAGTGAACTCGACTCTAGCCTATGGCTTTGCAGCCGCCTCTTTTACGGGAGGTGAAGATTACGGATGGTGCTGCTCGTGCATGCTGCTCTCTTTCCAGGGCCAACTGGCTGGCAAACAATTGCTGGTGCAGGTGACCAACACCGGAAGCCCGTTGGCTGTCAATCAGTTCGACATCGAGATTCCCGGAGGAGGCGTGGGTTTGTTTCCCCATGGTTGTGCTGCGCAGTGGGGAGCTGATCCGGAATCGGGCTGGGGCGAGAGATATGGAGGGGTTAGTTCTGCGGAGGAGTGTAGTCAACTGCCGGAATCTTTGCAGGAAGGATGCCGTTGGAGGTTCGGGTTCATGGAGGGGGTCGGCAATCCAGATGTTACGTTTTATCAAGTCGAATGTCCATCAGAACTTGTTGCTGTTTCCGGATGTGATTACTGATGTTCTAAATTTAGAAGATGAAATGTTTCAATAAAGCTTCAATACCTGTAAATTTTTGTTTTGATACCTATATAAGGGTTGCCACCCATCTTGCATTTCGCAGGACGTCCTGAATTTGAGGTACTTTGTCCTGCGTCCTGTCGAGATCACTTACAGGACGTTAAATGTCCTGAATTTTGTGATCTATCGAGGTGACATCATCAACATCGTCTAATGAAGTTTTTTAGCTGCAGAAATACCCCATCAGTTTCGTTCAACGGAACTTGCTATGCATTTTAGGAGACGCAACTTCACTCTCTGAACTATTTTTCTGCGAGCGAGGAAGCAGCACTTATGATCGAAATTTTATTAGATTAAGTTCAATATTAACTCAAATTCAAGTGGAGTGAACGAGTCCAGTCAGTTACAATGGTGGAAATCAGAGAGGGAGAAAAGGTCTATTGGAAGTGCAGCAGTATTATTTGAAAAGCATCATTGATCTCTCAATGCCATTCTCATATACGATGTATAACCCCCTATCTACCCACTATTGTATCAATCATGTAACGATAGCCCTTCTAGAAATGAGAAGATCCGATGAAAGTGCGCCAGCGACGTACCATGAATGTTCAAGAAGCAGTTGTTAGGTGAGCAGGTTAACTGAGAAAATAATGGAAGACAGTAATTTCGTACTCGAAGCGGTAGAGTTCCATAATGCTAACTTTGCTGCTGATGGGTGGTTATCATATTGTTGTTGATATCGAAAAGTGATGTGCCTTGAAAGCGTTTGCTATGGCATTTGAGAAAAAATTCCAGCATTAACTTTCATTTCAGTTTCTCAAATGAGGGATTAAAAGTACCCTTTTATTCCCCAAAGTGCATAAACTATTAACGTTTTTCAAACCTGTTAACACTCGGTCTCTTAAATTATGCTTTGTTGAACTTCTCAACATTTTCATTGAAATTCCATTTGTCCCGATTTTCAATTGATTGTCTTGCATTTTCAACTACTTGGCCATGAAAATCATATATTCAAAGGTGTCAACTCTATATATAGTTTTAGTCATTTAATAAAAACAAACAAATAATATGAAATGAACATTAGCGGGTATAGTAAACTTAAATGTTTAGAATGAAGGGACTCACATTTACATCCCGTACCGGGTAGGTACATTTATTTATGAGGTTCCCGGACTGAAATGCTTGCATGATGAAATGAACCAAACTCTTTTTATATGAACACGCAATGTTTCTATACTGGATATCCTAGCAGGGGCATCATTTCAGGAAATACTAAGACGTGGAGGAACTGAAAAAAAATGTATAGTAAAAAATGTGCCGCAGGCGAATTTTTTTCAGGGTGGACGGTCAAATGCCTTAAAATTGAAAATTAGATTTCATTCAGAGTGAAATAAACTCCATAACATTATTATATCGTGAATTATTTCATATTCTTATTTTGTTGTGATTGACATAAATGATCTGAAAATAAGAATAAGAATAAGCAAGTGAAAATTGTTTTAAATACTGTCGATCTGTAATTTAATCGAGCGTCGTTTTTTTAATGAAAATATGAGTATTATCTCAATACATTTTTGAACAATTTTTGAGGAACATCACCCGTGGAAGTATCTATAGGAAAGTGGAAGGTTGCCGACTTTTCGACGATGTTCTAATGGGGTCGAAGAGTTGGTGAGTGTGGCATCACCCACCACGCGAATGGCTCTTCACTGGATAGAATCTAAGAGCATCAGCGAATGTTTGGATGCTAAACGCCATACATGAGAACATTATTCTAAAACTGGCCGGATCTGTGCTTTGTAGATCATGAGAAGCAGTTTATATGGTGTAAAGAAGATTTTCGCATGGGACAATAAAAAACCGAGTTTTCGTGAAGCAGCTTTTGCGATGGATCGAACATGATTCTCCCATGGGAGAGTATTGCTGATGCTTATTCCGAGCATAGATATAGTGGTATCGGTGGGAATGGCGGCACCATACATTGTTATATCAGGCATACTGAGTTCCTCTAGACGAAATACAGGCTTGTGTGTTGGTGGCGTTGGATTCAACTAGGTTGTTGGTTCCCCAGACTGTAATTTCCGCAAGATCTTCATTGACAGCGTTGGCCTGCCTTCTCCGCAAGTTCTTAGTTCCTTGGAAAGAAATGGGAATTCTAGAAGAGAATGCAGTATGGAGAGTACTGTCGTCTGCAAAACTGTGGATAGGGCTCCCAATAGATCGTTGATATGAAGTGTAGTAGGAACAATGATGGTGTCAAAATTGCTCCTTGTGGAACGCCGGAATTGATGACAATGGTATCAGAAGATACACTCCGTCCACCACCACATGGAGCGGTCTGCCTGAAAACTCGATAAAAGATGGCATAGCTGAGGTGGTAAGCCGTAGGATGGTAGTTTGTGGAGCAGTCCTTGATGCCAAACACGGTCGAATGCCTTCGATATATCTAGCGCTACAGCAACAGATTCCCCATGTTTTACTAATGAAATTTGCCATATATGGGTGACATAGGCAAGTAAATCTCCAGTTGATCTTCGGTGGCGAAAGCCATATTGTCTATCATTAATGATTTTTGAGCTTTCCAGATATTTGATGAGCTTTCTCCATCACTTTGGAGAGGACCGATAACAGGCCAATTGGCCTATAGTTGTTGGGCAGGCTCTTGGGTCCTTTTTTGTGGATTTGTTGGACTCTACAGCTATTTTCCAGCAAGATGGAAAAATACCCGTCTTGTACGAGATGGTGAATAACTTGCAGGGAATCTGTGTCAATTCTGGTGCACACCTTTTGAGAATAATGGGTGGAATTCCATCAGGACCATTGGACCTATTCGTTTTGAGACCGAGCAGAAGGCGTCTGATAGTGCGTCGACGAAAGACAATTTCAGGCATTCGACTTTCAACGGGTGGAATGTGTGGCGGCACCCTTCCCTGGGAATCCGAGGTGGAGATAGCTGCGAACAATTCTGCAAAAATGTTCGCTTTCTCTTGCGATGTTGTTGCTAATGTGCCGTCGTCTTTGGAGAATAATGGGAATGAACTGCTATAGCGAGGGACCAAAACGAACGGGAGCCATTGAGACAATCTATGAGTTTTGATCTCATTTTGGCATTGTATGATTCTTTTGATGCATCTATTGTTTGGTTGCAGTTATTCCTTGCTTCAACATATTCTGCTCTGATCCCGAGGTTTGGGTCCTTGCGCCAGCGATAGTAGGCTGTTTGTTTCAAGGCAACAACTCTAGAACAATTCTTGTTGAACCAGTGATTCGAAGCTGATGCTCTTTTCGAAGAAATAGGTATATGTATGTGTCAATTGTAAGCGTGATGATCTCGGTTATTTCCGTGGCACACTGTGAAGGATTCTCAGGATGAAAGCATATTCTATGGCAAGGAAACTCGAAAAAAAAAAAACATGCGGAGGCCGTGTCAGTTATCATTCCATACAAGGCGGGGGGTGCTGAATTAGTTGATGAAATGAAGAATGGGCAGGTTGTGGATATTAGTGTGTTATCAGAATTTCCAAGGGGTGCTAGTACAAATATGGTGTATGGTGCTGAATTATTAGTGAGGAATAAGTCGAGTGTGTTGGCTGAATCCTTGTTGACATCACGTAGGTTCCATGATGAGCTACTCTAACCGGGAATGATGGCGAAAGCTTCGGCTTGTCGCCTATAGGAGTGTACGAGCAGTGGGTGACTAATCTCTGTACGAGCCAAGCAGTGTTGGGTACATTGAATTCGCCCATGATGATGATGTCTGCTGAATTTGGTCAACCTTCAGGGACAAGAACTCGAAGAGCTCTTCAAAGGATGGATCATTTGGGGATCATTAGATAAATCAAAGATATTTTTCTATTTCTGGCTATCAAGTTTGAATCACATAACATCAAAATTATTTGGTCTCAAAGTTCTCGATGATATGAGAGATTCGTTTTAGAATAGAAGCAGAGAACTACCTCCCTTGAACTTGTATCTTATGTGGAGCGCGTACCCAGGGAAATAAAAGCATATAGGTCGTTGTTGGTGGATGAATTGACCTGTGTCTCAGTCGGGGCCAATATGTCTCGCTTTTCATCTTGAGAACACCATCGCTTTTTCTATATTGAAGAGGAATAAGGTTGGCGTGGAAGGAAAAGGAAATTGGATTGGGTTGGCCGGAATCATGAACGAGCCGTGAAACATGGGTATAACCCATTTCACAGCGCCTAAGTCGATGTGGTGGTATCGCACCGGGCGATGATGTTAGCCATCTTCCACCTATTGGCGTCCTTTTAGTCGCCGAAGGACTTACCGTGGGGTTATTCTTTGTAATTTGACACTGTTCAAAACTGACAGAAGTTCTGAAACGCCTTACTTTACGTAACCAGTTGTGTAAAATAAAATATTACATAAGTGGTGATAAAATCTTCATTTCAACACCAGTTACGTAATAAAAATATGGATGGACGAGGAGAATAGTGTATTTTGTGCTGCTTACTCCGATATCACTTGGGAAATCTGAACAAGAATCAGCCGTTTTCCAGTAATGAAGATATCAAACGAGTCTATTTCATGAATTTCTTCGCTAATTTGTAACTATATATTATTGTTTGACTTGTCTACTAAATTTTGTACATAATCGGTAGAACTCCTGAAGAACTAGTCATTAGAAAAAATATTGGACGTAACTCTAGCACTATAGTTAGGAAATGCATTTTGTGAAACTCTGTTCTTGGCGGGATCTCGCTTCGTTCGTCCCCCAAAATCTGATCGTTACACGTAAATATCTAATTTCTAATTTTGACGAGAAAAATGTTCCCCAAATTGATAAGATTGATAATTTCGATGAATTGTATTAAGCATTTTGTGGGTACAATATTTCGCATGCCAGTTTGAAGTTTCGTTCATACGACAAGATATCGCGTTAGACACAACAGAATTTT